TATAGAACAATTTGCACAAAATTTAAAAGTGTCCGAATATTAAGTTGTTTGGGCTCTATAGTAGGTACTTTGACATTTAAAGGGAACGATGTTGTTTGTCCTGTGAGAAAATAATATAAGACACAACAGTTTGGTCTTAACACGACGAAGTAAAATATCTGGGCGTTTGAATTCCAATAACAAACCATGACGAAAAACGTGAATGAAAAGCTCATGGTCCATTAGTTAGGTTGTGTTAGGACAACAGCCCTGGGTGGGTTTTCGCGTTTTCGGGAGACGTTTGGCGTGTTGTAACCAAGAACGAGGCCGGCGTTTCTGGTACATACAGGGCTGGAGGTTCTTTTGTAGAATGCCTACCCCAGGCGGATATGCTGGTTTTGCCTGGCACCGTCTTAAAATTTGTAATAATGATGACTTCGCGCAATCTCAGCATCTTACTTACCTTTCATTCTATTGTAGTAACACTCTGTATAGATCTATAGGGTGTAAACGTTATGGTAGTCATTATTGAAATGGGTAATAGGGGAGGTCAAAACAAGTCAAAAAGTTCATATGACCCATGGTCCAAAAGTCAATAGATTTTTGTCTAAATGGCTTTATAGTTTACATCTTTAAGGGTGGATTTCACCAAGGTTGTCAAATCAACAGTTCGTTATTCTCCACCTATAGGGTAACAGTCCGTCAAATACAACGAATGAGCTTCAAGTTCCAATCAACAAATTTTAGCAACCAATAGCTATGAAATGTTGAAAACAAAATACTGTCAAAGTATGAGATGACAGTTTGTCATTGAAACATCACCAGCTTATTGAATATTAATAAATTACATATAATTCGGTCAAAATTTTTTTCAAATGTTTGATTTTTGAATTCATGTTTTAATTACTATTGTTGATTTTTTATTCATGTTTATATTATTTTCTTCAATTGATACGCGATTTTACTGATTCAACATCACATACTGGGTGTTTTTTCCTATAAACCTCGTGCAGATAGCCATTAAGCACTTACTTGATGACAGGCTCTACCAAAAAGTTCATAGATATTGTCCGTTCCAAAAATTAATTCATTTACTTGCCGTTCATCAGAACCATTATGGGACCTTAGATTGATATTCCCACAAAACCATTCAGGTTTTTTGATATCCATACATCCATAAAGTTGAATATGTTTCATTGTTCAGAAACTGAACAAACATCCACACTAAATTCACAGCGATTAAGAGATTCCCAAATATATGTCTTAAAGCTACCAGCAAACCAAAAACCTGCAAAAAAACTACAAATTTGCCATATTATTCTTTTTTCACCAGTATATATTCTAGATTATATTTATATTAGACATTATTTGAATACAGCTGATTATTGCATTTGAAAACTCCCCGAGTGAAACATGTGTGGGATCTGTCAACCCTTGGTCCCGGTCACAAAACATATACTCTGAAGAAGGTTTAAATCCATGCTATTCAATGACAACACGGTGACTTGTGTGGTTGTCATCAGCGGCCATTTTTTGAGGGTGCGACATGGTTGCCAGATTGTGCATTAATATCCCGTTTCACCCCGTGGTCCCAGTGGAGTAAGTTCCGCCAACTATTGAAATATACTCTACTATGCTTTATAAGACTATTCGTGGAATTTTTCCCAAAACTTGAAAAAACGCAAATGGGCTGCAAGGTGCGATGTTGCCTTTACCATCTTATATTTTGCTAAAATCTTATGACAAATAAAGGCTTCAAATGAAATATTGACGAATATGAACGGATATGCATGGAATTTAGAATATAAATTCATATTGCAAATTTCAGATTGTATTGCATGGACGGTATTTTTACCGAAAAGAGAATATTTACCGAAACATCATTCTCCACGATTTTTCAAAATAATTTAAATATTTCTATACTTGCCGAAAAAGAGCTGAAACCAAAAATAAAGCTAAAAGTTAATTTTATGTAGTCTTCATAGTTTCATGCCCCATATCAATCGTACATTTGCATACACACTCAGGCAGTCGGGCACATGGGAGGGGTTATATTTGGGTTGCATATGATTGCGAACGCATATCCTCATCCCTTACCCCACTTGCCCTGACTTGATTTTTGTGCATACAAAAGGTACAGACTGGTAGATTACCGTCACTAAGTCATCACCGGACAATCAGTAAATAAACCGAAACCTGCCTGTAAAATGAGAGGTGAGTTCATGAGTTCAAGGGTAAAACAGAAAAATATATACAATACCACAAGCAAGAATCGAAAAAGGAGTTTCCAGAATGGTTGCAAAGTACTTTGAAACAACGACCAGTATGCACACTGTAGAAGTTGTAATGTAGAACTATGCCCTCAAAAAACATGTTGTGTGCGCGCCCAATACAATAACAGACATTTTTCATGACTCAAATGTCCTTGATGTACCACTGATCTTGGGGCGGCATTTACCTTATACCGAATTCAACGACACGATTTGCCGATTCCGTTTTTTTGCCGGTTCGGCAACACTGCAGATGTGCAGTTCACTTTAATTGAAAGCAATTAATATCCCAGACGTGTTATAATAATAGAAATAAGAAAATAAAACAATGCTTGGAGATATGTTTTCATAAATAGGTATTTTTGATTCTGACTTATAGTATCTAGACGATGAATAATAGGTGGATGCGGATACTTTTACAAATATCGATGTTTTACGACCCAGAAATGCAGAATGTGCTGTTTGTTTACATTTGGTGTGGATTTCTAGATCATAATTTGGAAAAAATTGTTTTTGATGTAACAAAAGATGATGAACCAGCTGGAATACGTTTTATATCCTTTTTTTTCAAAATAGCAAAAATCCGTATTTTTACAGATACGTATTTTTTACAACACCCTGTACGTGATATACAGACAAAACTAGATTGCCATGCATGAACAGTCGTAAAAACAGTGAAAACATCTTACCTAATATAATAGCTAGAAAATCGACCTATTATCTTTTGTAAAACTGGAAATTCTATGAAAGTTATCCTAATTCTAATGCACAAAGACATAATATTACGTTTATAATGTACCCTTAATTATAAGGCAACCGTTTTTTCACGACTTTATTCAACATTTCAATAGAAATCACTGATATTCAGAGAACTTGACAGCTTCTGTCAAATTGCATTTCGATGAGCTGTTTTCCCATTGGTCCAAGGGACCGTCAAATATTAATGTTGGTGAAATTGGCCCTATGTGCTTTATATCGACCACAATCACCATAATCCTACTAATATTTTTATAATCTAATCTAAAACTTTTTTAAATTCGGTAATTAACAAATAAATGGCATTAAGTTCTTCTATGTTGAGCCAAAATGTGTAGTCAGTAAGTAAGTTTCATTAAATTAAATAACAGTAGTTAGTTATCGGGCATCGGGCGTGTTGTTTTGTTTTTGTGCGCGTACGTCGTCGTGTTTATTTATATTCACGAATCAACAGTTCGCCGAAATGTTGTTAGTTTATGGTGAAGCTCGTCAGAATTCAAATCATGGAGCTCAAATTTATTGCGACGGATTTCGCCAACGGGTACACCCAGACAGAAGGACATTTGTGCAAGTCTACCAAAGACTTCGAGATACAGGAAGTGTTCAGCCCCCTAATATTCGCACTCGTGAGAGAAAGGTTACTTTAGAGCCGGAGGAACAAATTTTAAATATCGTGGAAATCAACGCAGATATCAGCACTCGGGAATTAGGCCGCCGCGTAGGACTATCGCATACCATAGTCCATAGAATCCTATGGAAAAATTTGCTTTATGCCTACCATGTACAACGAGTGCAGGCCTTGTTACCAAAAGACTATCCTCGCAGACTAACATTCTGTTAGTGGTTCTTGCACAAAAACATTGAAAATCCGGATTTGTTTAAAAACATTCTAGCGACGGACGAATGTACTTTTACGCGAGACGGGAAATTAAATTTTCATCATACTCACACGTGGGCCCAAGAAAATCCTCATACCATTCGTGAAGGTCATTTCCAACAACGTTTTAAAATGAATATTTAGGCGGGTATTCTTGACGATCAGGTAATAGGCCCTTTCGAGTTACTGCCAAAGTTGTCAGGAGAAGGATACCTTAGCTTTTTAGCCAATAACCTACCAGAACTTTTGGAACAGACCTTAGACAACATGCCATTACAACGGAAACAAAATTTGTGGTTTCTTCGTGACGGGGCACCACCACACATTTTTAGAGGCATCATTCAGTATTTAAATGAACATTATCCAAATCGCTGGATCGGTCGAAATGCTCCTGATCCTCGAAAATGGCCAGCAAGATCTCCTGACCTCAGTCCGATTTCTGGTATTGGGGAGAACTTAAAGGGATGGTTTATGTGGCTGGTCCAATAACAACTGAAGCACAACTTCGCAAAAAAAAATTAATCCTGAAGGCTGAAATAATAAATGAATAACTTCGAGGACCTAGACCTAGAGTAAGAAGAAACTGGGTTCGTCGTAATGAAGCTTGCCTGGATAGTGGAGGACGACATTTTGAACACCTTCTTTAAATACAAAAAAGTGCAGTGTGGGTTTTAAAAAGAAAAACAATGTATGTATCAAAATTGTGTTTCCTATTTATAAGTGGATTTTTTTAATACGTTGAATAAACTATCAGACACCAGCTGTAGTGCTGAGACAGTTAGTGGTAAGTCCGTTTTTTTTTTAATTGTTTGCATTTTACGCGTACATTATCAAATAATGAAATAATACCTAAGAGCCAAAAATAACAAACTGCATCTTTATTTACACTGCGTTCCGTCGTAATTTGCGTCTGGCATTGCGGCGTTGTCAGATTTTATTTTACTTTAAAGTCGCTGTTCCCTAAAAAATGCCGTTTTGACCACCATGTTGTATGAAACTTTTTGCTTCCCCTTTATCACCCATTTAAATAATGACTATCATAACGTTTACGCCCTGTATGATAATGAAAAGAAAGAACAAACGTCTGAGTGTCATCTGCAAGACAGATAAATGAAATACTATGTGATAAAGTTGTCAATTGTACTGAAGAACGTCTCCATTTGGTCCGAAACGTATACAATAAGGAAAAATGTAGTTTGATTTTACAGACAAACATAGGAGATTGTAGACATGAAAATCACAAGTGTTAGATTATAATCGTTTATCATCTGATAGCGGCGTTTCATCGGAGGTGCATTGCGTTTTTTACGTATTTTTTTGGTAAACATTAGTACTCGTGGCCATCTGTTAAATTATTCCGCACACTAGATTATTGTTAGAGTTGTCAAAAGTTACTGATTTAAAGTTTAGAGTATTGATAGGCCTTTCTGTTGTGTAATGAAGTGCAACAACAACGCAGTACTTCGAAATGATTCAGCTGAAATTTTGGTGAAAACAAGCACAAAAGACCATAATGCCGCCAAAAAAGTTTCAAGCACAAAATGAATGATGACCACACCAAACACTACCGAAACACACGGAATATAGGGTTATAAACTAAACATGCTAAGCTAAGCTAAGCTAAGCCAACCGCGGACAGCTGTTTCGTGCTTTTTGACTACTCATCATTAGTCTCTCGGACAACGGACGAAAGTACGGCAACTATACGCTATCAGAAGTGCAACATTGGCTGGGACTGCATAGTGTGTATAGATCGCATTCTGCAAATTGAAGACCCAGTCACGACGTGACCGCTACATGGTGACGTTATCCAATAAACCAAGCCTAACCCACGCTGAAGAGTACCCGAAAAGCACGAAACAGCTGTCTGTCCTAGATCCAACGACGAGAGCAGCATGTTAATTTTGTTCAATAAGTAGACTGTTCAGCTAGAATCGTCGCCATCTAGCTGTCATGTGGTTACTGGGCCATATATTGCATAAAAGCTAGCTGAAAGATATGGCGTCACTGCAGATTTCGACGCTACTATTTGTGCGTAACAAGAACTGAAACTGAAAAACATCTGATAGCAAACGGACCCCCCAAACTCGACTTTATTGACGGGCATAATACAAATAATCTGATGAAACGGATGGCACCATCCGCCGCGTACTTTTCACTTGCACTATACTTCACATATAGTCAAATAAACTGCAGGGGTGTAATCAAAAAACAAATAATAAAATTGACTGCTGGGAGCTTGACGCAGCGCTGTAGGTTTTAAACTTTTAATTTTAATTGAGAAGTTTAACAAACAGCTATTGAGAATTTAGAGTTCACTAACAATACCGTAGTGCCAAAAACAAAAATCTACTCTCCAATAAATAATTGCTTTTCGGAATTAGCATTAGCCATGGGTCTGAAGGGGAAAATTACCCCGTTGGCTACGTGCATTCTCACAGACCAGGAATGGCTTCACGTGTCAGCTTAATCTGTTTTTATAGTCAATACTTCAACTGATAAGAATACGAGTACACCATCGCTGATTATTTATGTATACTCATCAGCCGATGTTGTTTAGGATTTCTGTTCGTAAGCCAGCGAGAGTGAAAAGCCTTACAGGGTGGGCGCTCGTGACGCTGTGTGGAGTTTTGATATATGTATCTAAAGTGTGTACCAATTTTTCGAAACTTGTCATATTTTTTGCTGTACTTTATATGGACTACTAGCTTAACGTCTTCTTCAATTGCTGAAGTTCAAAATAAGCTGTATTAATTTGAGGTATGGGTTTATCGGTGTAAACAAAGCGTTATTGGTTCATGGTCTATACGTATTTTTGAATTCTGAATGGTTAATTTCTACGGAGTTACAACAAAACATAGTAATAAAAGCTAAATTGATTTCCCGTCTAGATGGTTTTGGTTCTTGGAAGCTGTCCCAATCTAGAGTCAAGAGATTTCTGTGAGAGTATAAGAAACATGACTATAAAAAACTTTGGTCGTCAGTTTACAGATAAGTCATCTATTTGGTACCCCAGTTTGCAATACAAACCACCTATAACGTTTCCCCTGAAGCCGGTAAGTCTTACGTAGGTGCAGAACTACGTTTTCATATCTGTACGTCACCCTTTATCAAAGGATCTTACAAGATACCTACATTAAGATCTATATAAAAACATGCTTTATTTGGGAATATCAAACAAATTGCAATAGCTGTCCTTTTTCAAGTTCTATAAAATCATCTGCTGATTTTCTGTCTAATTGCTTTTGCCATAAAATACTTCAATCAATAATGTGTTCAAAAGAACAGACAATTTTCCCAAAACCTTAAAACACTTTTTTATTTCATAGGGTCTATACGAGAGTCTTTCTGATCCTACAAAATACATGCTTCCATCAGTACCGAGGACTTCCTGGCTGGTTAAAACACTGATGTACTATGAAGATGAAGTAGTATTATGCATCATATCTGAAGGTGACATATTTGAATAAAATGCTTTGGCACGGATGTATCTAATAAAAAATGATAATTGGAACTTACGCCGTATTTTTGATTACAGGTGTAAAAAATTAAATGATTTGTGAACCAACTTGCACGTGTTAAATTTGTAATACGTATACAGGGTGTTTCACTTTATTGTTGCATAACTTTAAGATTCGATATAAATTTTAAAATTAATGCATAAAGTCTATATAAACATGGGTAGCAAAATGCGTGGCTTCCGAAATACAGGGTATTTAAATTTACTTTCTAAAATAGTTTTTTTTTAATATTTCGAACAATATTTGATGTATAACAGTGAACATTGGTACACAAGGGTTTTGTGGTACGATAAAACGAACCATGGGCATAGTTTTACTGTAGCCGCTAGAGGGCGCTCTCTACTGTTCCTGTAGTGTATTAAAATGATGATTTTATTTAAAAAAGTGATTCTTCGAACTTTTCAACATAAAAAAGCTCTCCTGTGAGTTTTCGTTATAGTTAGCCGTTTTTGAGATATTTCGATTTTTAAGGTTCGATGCATTTTTAATTATTTATGGGAAAATAATATTTTATTTACATTTTCGATTTGGGCATTACAAGTAATTAAGATGATCGTTTAGATTGTGTTTTTAAACACAGCAATAATTCCTAACTCGAAATAAACACAAAAAACAGAATATTAATTTGTTTAATTTTCCAATATTATTTTTAACAAATTAAATTAATTATTTACAACTAAAATGCCACTGGATAGTTAGGAAAGACATACCAAATCTAAAGTAGTTGCTCGAAATGTAAACTCAATTGTGCAATACACAATTCACATCTACGAATGATCGAACAAGTATGCATTCCTGATTGTGTCTATTAGCATATCTCTTGTGGTTACGGGAGTCTGATACACTTTTTCTTTTAGAAATCCCCACACAAAGAAATCTAATGGATTTAGGTCAGGGGATCGTGGAGGCTAGGCGACTGGTCCTCCACGGCCGATCCATCTTTCTGGATAATTTTCATCCAGCCAGTTTCTAACTATTCTCGAATAATGAGCTGGACAACCATCAAGCTGGAACCAGGCCAATCTTCTTAAATCTAACATAACATTATCCCACATATTTGCATGTTCAGCCTTTTAAAATTCGAAGAAGGTCGCAGCATTTAACCTTGCAGGCAAAAGGTAGGGTCCAAATAGTCGATTACGGTTGATACCAATCCACACGTTCACACTAAATTCATGCTGAAAATTTCTTTCCCGAACTGCATGCGGATTTTCATGCGACCAAATATGTTGATTATGAAAATTTACCACTCCACGTGTAGCGAAGCATGACTCATCGGTCCATAAAACGCTACTTAAAAACTCCCTATTATTATCAGTTCTAGCAAGAATCCACTGACAAAATGTGATTCTTCGTTCTCCGTTCCCTGGCTGTAGTCCTTGCACAGGTTGCAAATGGTAAGGACGTCTATCGTCATTTCTAAGAACACGGTGAACATGGCTTGCTGAAATTCCCAAGGCACCAGAAACTCTCCTAACACTTGTAGTCGGATCTCTATCAAACTCACGCAGAATCATACGGGTAAATCTGCGCTGACGAACATTTATGTTTTGATCCCTTTGGAGATTTCCAAAACCATTTTCAATTATTTGGCGATGCACTCTTACAAATAATGAGCTAGTTGGATGTCGTCTGTTTGGAAATCTTCGTGCGTATTCTCTGACTGCTTCTGCTGCGTTTCCATTTACAAAGCCATACACAAAATGAATATGCGCTAACTCTTGATTGGAGAATGAAAATGGCATTTTTATAAAACTTACAAAAAAACAGGTGAAATAAACTAAATTTCGTGCATTCACAATTGCAAAAAGACGTTTCAGGTTTCAACAGACAACAAAACTAACTGTCAACTAATTGACGTTTAACCTTATTCTGCTTTCAATTTCAAAAATATTTGCAGGCACAGCCTACTTCTAACAATTATCGAGATACTGACTTTTTAACGTTATTTTATCATGAATAATTAAAAATGCATCGATCCTTAAAAATCGAAATATCTCAAATACGGCTAACTATAACGAAAATTCACAAGAGAGCTTTTTTATGTTGAAAAGTGCGAAGAATCAGTTTTGTGACTTTCTTCTGCATAGTACTTGTAGCTACTGCAAGTTATCACGTCAGGGTCATTGATCTACATACCACAGCATTTCCAGCTGCAAACATATCACTTCCTATACCTAAGGTGAATCTCAAACAATCAGTAGTTACTGTGGTAAGTATCAACAGTATTTAATGATGCTTCCGCCAGTGCCAGTGGATTCCTACGTAATTTTTTGCATCAATAAATACTGACATCTGTCAAACGTTTCGCAGTAAATATTGAATGTGTGACATTCGCCTAACAATTTCCAGTGAGTTAAGGGTGCTCTTACCTTACTACAGTCTATAACCGTTACTGTATGCAGAGAGAGAGGTAGAGAGAGAGAGAGAGAGATATCTTATCCACCCACACAATACAGAAAACTCGTGTTTTGAAAGTCAATACGCTCCTAATACCTATGAAGCTTTCAGTATTCCTTATTGGTAGTCTAGTAAGCATTAGAATTGGGTTCAACAAAAATGCAGATAAAAATTTTATATTTGGCACCCAAGTAGCATTTGAAATGGCAAACATACGAGCCCCTTCCCACTTCTGTTGGCCCACTTCAAGACTTGTACCAAAATATACCTTTATAAACTAAACATGACGAATCTATTTACTTCTAAAACAATTTATTTTCTCAAAAACATTTTGGATACACTCAAAACAATCCCATATTTCTTGAAGCTTTTGTCTCAGTTCGGTGATTGTACGAGCAGGATGTTGTCGTAGAACCTTTTTCATCTCGTGCCACAAAGTTTCAACAGGTGGCAGATCTGGACCCATTTCAAAAGTGGTACATTATTTTCTTCCATCTATTTTATAGCCTTTTTTCTTGGTCAGATGTCAAACATTCTTCCATCACTGGTAAAAGCGATTCTTCTAAAATTTCCAAATATTTGTTTGTATCCACGTTTCCATCAATAAAATGAAGTTTTCCTACTCCTTTTGATGACATACTGCCCCAGACCATAATGGATGCTGGAAATTTCACTTTTCTCTCCAGACAGTCAACATGGAATGCTTCATTTTTTTGCGAATACCTCTAATGCGACTGTCACCAACACAAACTTCGAATCGAGCCTCATCACTCCATTGGCCTATAAACAAGTTGTGCAACTTTATGGTTTTTACTTCACTTTTTTTATAAGAAAATTTTGTGCCCACCGTGACGCTGTGGATGATCTAGTTTCTTTGTCGCTGAGTATCCTTTCCAATTTTAGAGGCAGCTTTAGGTTTCGGTCTCACGGTTATTTCATACAGCTTGGTGATCTACCATCTCAGTGCTCTGTGTGATCCTGATATAGCAACCACAAACTCTCCAGATGCTTCTCATTTCCCAAACCGATTGTATTTGGTATAGTGTTTATGATGGCAATGCCGTCATCAATATCTTGAAGTCTGTAGAACGAATTAAATTTGTGATGGATATGATCAATAAACTTATAATAATAATAATAACGTGCCTTTATTCGATTGTTCTACAAATAATATTTTGGGTAAGGTGAGGTACTAAAAATTTAAAATTAAAGAATCAAACTGGCATAGTGTTGCCTTAAGGTATTTTTCAACTTAGCCATAAAATAAAATTAAACATGAATAAGAATAGAGACGTAAAATAATGAATACATGTGATAATTGCCTAATCATGTTTAAATCTCTGCAAGTATACATGGTTAAATTTTAGGTCATTTAATATAAAATCATGATAAATATGATATGACTCGAAAAATCATACAGTCGATCTTATTCTTGCTGAATTTTTCAAAATTGATCTCATTATTATCATGTAGAGAAGGCATTGCTTTTAATTTTTTCTTGATATTTATTAGACTGTAATTGCGGTACTCAGTTGGTAGATTGTTATAGTGTTTGGCTGGAGTGTATGAAAAACTTTTCTTGTATAACGATATACAGTGGTGGGGTATAACTAGAGATTGACTATTTCTTGTTGCTAAGTTGTTTGTAGCTTGTTGAAAAGGTACTCTGGTTTCTTATTCCTTAACGTTTTATGGACTAAAGATAGTGAATGATATACTCTAAGATTTTCTAAATTCAATTTTAGGTTTTCCTTATAAACATGACTGATATAGTCGTGGTTTCTAATGCCAGGACAATAACGGAAACAAGAATTTTGGAGTTGTTGCAGCTTGGTCCTATCACTTTGCAATAAAGTGGCATATACTGCGTCACAATAAGATATCCTTGAAATGATTCGTAAATCACACAGCTGTAATTTTAATTTACTATCTAGTAAATGTCTTTGAGGATTTAATTGTTTGAGCATACCATAAGATCTTGAACACAACTTCTTTATATTACGGTCAAATTTTAGTTCATTATCCAACCATAAACCCAGATTTTTGCTAACAGTTACAACTGGTAAAGGAATGTTGTTGATGTAGAGCCGATATAGAGTTACTTTCTATAATGATTCGTTTCTGCTTTGTTCCAGAAATCAAGACTTTTGATTTAGAAGCATTCAGTGTTAAGTTATGAGCAGCCGAAACGAGATACATGGTATTTAGATCATAGTTGATCAAATCCAAAAAAAAGATGCATCATCGATATGAAAAGCATAATCTAATTGTTTGTCGTCTGCGTAATGATGAACATTGCAGTACTTTATATTATTAGAAAAATCTGAAATATAAAGAGAGAATAATAAAGGACTAAGGATGGAGCCTTGGGGTGCCCCCATTGTTATGTGGGATTTATTGGAATCGTTCAAATAAATTGATACATTATTAGATAATAGATTTATTTGTAACATATTCCGAAATTGAGCCAATAAGGTTAATTAAAACACAAGGCTGAAGGTCAAAATAATTTTCTACATGCCTCGCAAACATATAGAAAAAAATTATGTAACGTCAGAACTGTACACCCCATTATGTAAGTTATCTTCTTCAAC